GCATCGTCGCACACCGACGTGAACGAAACTGATGTTACCGGCTTGGGCTGAGGTGCTATCGCGGCCGAGCGGCCGTCCGGAGGCATGGGCTCGGACGCGAAAATGAAATACTAAAAAGAGACTAATCACATCACATCACATCTACAGCATTTGACCGGCGAGAAAACTAAGTAGAATATTACAATAAATTAGTTGAATTTAGGCCACTTAGCGTCTATTTTATGAGGGAAAATGAGAGTTATCACCTTGAGAGAGAATCAAATTTTGTTCAATAAAAAGACTTTACCTATAAAATGAAGTAGATGGTGCTATTCGCAAAGCAATTTTACTCGAAAGAAAATATTCTTTTGATTTATTACATTAAAATTTAGGCTCTATACCTACTTCTAAAATAAGGATTTTAACATTTATTTGCTATGAAATCAAACTTATTTTTTATACCGCACTTGTGTTTGAAAATTATTATATTTAATAAATCATTTGCCATGAAATACTCTTATTTTTCATTTTATTTGAAGGTTTCATATCTACCGAGTGTGAACTGCACAAAAGTTTTTTTTTGGTTTTTGTTTGTTAGTTGTTCCTAAAGAATGTTGGCAATAGAATTAGATGTATAGTAATTAGACGAATAATTGAAATAATACTTTTAGTTTAAGTGAATAGGTTATTTGGGTTTGAAGGATTACACGATGTTAGAATTATAGCAAAAATGTTCTCGTGATTGTTCAGCTCTTGCTGTTTGTGCTACTCTCTAATTTTTTGTTTCCAATCATTATCGTTCTCTAATAAACCACGACGTTGATATGCTTCACGATATTTTTCGCAAATATAACCGTCTACTGTACGAAGATCGTCAAACGATGTTGGTCCACGAATTCCATTAAGTAGTAGACGTAAATAAAACAATCTCAGTTTTTTGGATGAACCGTATATATTAGACCAGTGGCATTTTCTTTGAATACATCCGTAAATCGACAAAATACCCTTCGCGATGCGTCCCATGTGCACTGAAAACACTCTGTCACTGTGACTGGGAACATCCACATATAAAAATGTTCTTGAAAACGGATCATTTCTACACAATTCAAAAAACGCTGTCAAGGTTGTATCCAAGGGTTGCTTTGAAACTTTTTGTGCCATTTGACTGGTAAAATATACTCCTTGTCCATTGTCGAGATGAACTGCTAAATTGAACACTGCTGGGTATCTGTCATGAATTGGAAAAGCTCAGATATTGTTACGAGCTTAAGGTTCGTTACAGTAAAAACTGCCGATTTTATTACCAAAATTGGCATTTTAATTACTGAACACCAATTAACTTCTCCTTCTACTTATTCAGGCTCCTCTGAGTATCTATTTCTTGAAATTGACATCAAGGGCATCAAGGCGATTCTAGTTCTTATCTATTTTCATAAAAAATATAACCTACTGAATAACTTACAGTCAGGGTTTCGCTCTGGTCACAGCACTACCACTGCACTGATTAAGATCACTGATGACATTAGAAAAGGGATGGAGGAACGGAAAGTTACAGTGGTGGCGCTTGTTGACTTTTCAAACGCTTTTAACACAGTTGACCACGATGTCCTCCTATCCATTTTTTCTTACCGCAGATTCTCATCCCCAGCCTTGGAGTGGTACTCATCCTATCTTCGCGGTCGTCAGCAATTGGTTAGGTCAGGGGAGCAGTTTTCTGCTGGGGCGTTGGCTGATCGCAAGGCAATTAAGGTATTATCTCCAATATTGTTTTCGCTGTTTATAAACTCAATATCTAATGATTTTAGTTGCTCGTACCATCTGTATGCCGATGACCTTCAACTATATGCACAATCCAGCATCGATGATATAAATAATGCAATCAGGGAACATAAACTTAGATGCCATCCGTATCTGGTCACATTTGGTGGTTTGATTTGGTGTTTCAGTAAACCCATTAAAATGTAAAGCAATGGTTGTGGGTAGCCCCAGAATGTTAAGTATGATTGACTATGGAAACCTCAAACCAGTTCTATATAATGGAATTACAATTCCATTTTCTCATTCCATAGTCAATTTAGGCTTACACATTGATCACTGTATGAACTGGGCAGCACAGATTTCGGAAATTAATTGTAAAGTTGTTGCCACCCTACGTTCCCTCTATCGTATGAAAAATTTCTTACCCTTCAAAACCAAGCTTTTGCTTGTTAATTCCCTTATTCTTCCTATTATAGACTATGCAGATGTGTGCTATCCAGACCTCTCGCAAAATCTTCGTAACAAGTTGGAGTGCCTTCTCAACAACTGTATAAGATTTATCTTCAACTTACGAAAATATGACCACATCACTCCTTTTCGTTCCAAGCTTAAATGGCTTTCTATTCATCAGAGGCGTTGCTCCAGAATCTTACTAACTCTTTTCTCTATATTAAATGATCCGACGTCTCCTTCTTATCTCAAAGATAACTTCCACTTTCGGTGTTCAACTCTCGACCGTGAACCTCGTTCCTCTAACGTCCTTAAGATTGATTTATCTCAGCATAGTACTGTTTTCTTTAAGTTTTCTTTTACAGTTCCGGTAATACTTCTCTGGAAAGCCTTGCCCGTTAATATAGGAAAAGCATCGAATAAGTACACGTTTAAAAAACTAGTCCGGCAACACTATCTTGAGGAAAACTCCATTTGACCCTTCTATTTCTATCCCTATATTTATTTATAATATAAGTATATAAATATATATAGATGTCTATATGTATATATATGTATATATATATACATTTGTATAGTATATTAGTATATATGCATGTATATTTATTTACAATATTTGTATATTCATTTAATATTTTTAGCACCTACCAACTATATGTCAAATTCTCCCCGGGTTGACTGGTAGAGAATGCCATAAGGCATTAAGTCCGCCCATTGTAAACCTTAGATTAAGGTGTAAAACAATAAAGATTAAATAAATAAATAAATGAAACTTAAATCACACTAATAATTAATCACACTTAACACTTTGGTTCACTTTATTTCACTCCGAAAGCTTCGCTCGAATCGCCAATTCAATACTGCTCCGGTCGCGGCCCTAAACGGCTTTAAATAGGCCTTTTCTACCGAAACATCCAGAATATTCCAGCAAATACCGGCCCTATACCTACCATGTGCAGAAAGTTCGAGTGTGGAGCTTTCTAGAAAGCTTAATTCTTCCATTCGATACTAGATGGCGCTGTTGATGGAAAGTTCAGGCATCACATTTTCTAGAAAGCTCACCTCGCTCTGTTCCCCGACACTAGATGGCGCTAGTGCCAGGTACCAGACATCAACTTAGGCGCGCAACAATATGCCAAACTGCTTCATTACTATTGATGTATAGTCCCGTTTAATATCTTAAAATTCCGTCATCTGGAGTTTCATAAGTGATTCCAAAGACAGCCATATCACTCCCTTTGTTAATATACTTACAAACATATTTAATTGCCTTTACAGAACTACAATATTCTACGTTTATGTGTCTTGAAACATTTAGATAACGGATTATATAGTACAATCCATTATCATTTTCAACTTCTTCACCTCTAATTTTGACTTTTGCTGTAAATCCTCCCTCACTCGGTGGACGAGGTCTGTATTTAGGATATCCATCACCACCCGTTTGGGTTTCACTCAAAATGATCTTGGGTATCTTTTCGAGCATTTGTTATTATTTATACAGGGAGATTGCATATTTAGTATTCCACAGGGACCATGTATCATATTTTTAACAGTTATTTCATACAAAGTAGGATCTTCAACCGGGGTTGGGATCTCTGTCTTAATAACATCATCAATTCGATTTGAATTGTTTTTTCTTTGAGCCAAATTAAGTTAGGTGAATGTGGCAAACCTCTTTTTTGCCATTCTATTGAGTACATCCAACTAATAAAACCTCCAAAAACACAACTTCTCGTAATTGCATTAATGAATTTCACTTGTTTTTGTCTAAACACTCGTGCAATTATATCATGTCTATTACGTGGCTTTTGTCCATATTGTAACTCATCTTGAATTTCTTTCCACGGTGGAATACGTGTAAACGTAATAAACAAATCAAAACGTCTTGTGCATATTCCTGCATATGTTTGGTAAACGAAGAAGGCAAAATTACCAATCGTCCCAAATCTTCAATGTTTCCATCATTAGCTATTGCATCTCAAATTTTTTGTTTGAGAACTAGAAATATAAGAAAAATTTCTGTTTGATAGAAATTTTTATTTGATTTCAACTTGAAAAAATACTTAACCCTGACTAAATAAATTCCTGATAATTCAAAATTTTAGAACCTTACTTTAGCTTACTGGTCAGGTGACGCTGTAAGAGTCGTATAGACTAACAGCGCTAACATCCAGAAAATAGAATAGTCAAGCGGACCCATTCGTGCTACAACTATACTAATAATATAGCCGCAGCACGGCCCTACTACGAAAGATTTATGTACTTGACACTGAATACCGAAACTCAAATTACTCATAAAACAGCGGTTTTGTAAATGCCGCTTCCTAATTAAAAGGATAAAGAAAAAATATCTACGTGCTGTTTTTTTTTTCTTTGAAAGGTAATGCTTGTGCCTCTCCGCACTTTATTAGATAATCATCATTTATTATCGTGGGAATATAAACATACAATAGCATGATTTTTTGCGACCCGAACCATAGCGTACCCCGTACGACCTAGCGCTCCATCAGTCTTCGATGTCCTTTCAACTCTTTGAGTCTTTTATTTTATTTACATTCAAGTGCAAATAATTCCCACCCTTTTTTGGAGTTAAAATGTCAGGAGAAATAACCGTAATATGTGGCATAATTTTTCTATGTAAGTTTTTATTGCATTTTATAATAAAGCTAATACGATAGTTAGTAAATTTTGATTTACTGGATGAAACATCGTTATAAAATGTTATATTAGATATTTTAGAGATAAGAGATATAATAAATGTTTTATACGTGGTAGAGCTACGCTGCAGCTATATTATGGTTGTAGCACGAATGGGTCAGCTCGACCGGTTACAGGACACGGGTGACAAACGAGGGCATAGTCCACCTGATGGTAAGTGAATGTTGTGGCCCATAGATCTAATGCTGATGCGTTGTCAACCGTGAGGACTAACATGGAATGCTTCGTTTCCAGTAAATCCGGTATCCAGTTCTCTATACTCACCATACGAAACACAGCAGCATTAAGCTGCTATTTTACGCTGGTATTCTGTGAGAGCGTGGTCCTTCCCCGGTCGAGCCGACCCAATCATGCTACTACTATACTACTAATATAGCTGCAGCATGACTCTACCACGTAAAAATATACCTAATATTTATACGCTATGCTTATGTTTAACAAAAACATTTCACATTTGTTAGTTTTTTATTGTATACTTATAATGCTGCAGCTACACTAACGGGAAACGTCAATGTTCATAAACGCAACAATTATTGCCTTAAATTTAATGCGATAAAGTGAGTGGCTACACTTGAACGGTCAACGTCATTTCAATTTCAACTTTCAATTTTCATTGTTTCAAATTCAACTAAGCGACAGCAGCCTAGTGGCAGGGCGCGGACCGCGAACTCTAAAAGGTCCTGGGTTCGAACTGTTTGCAGGATCTCGAGAAACGTTGTAACTTTTTCATTACTTCATTCCATCGCATCCATAACTGCAACCCCGTTGCACTCACAATGAGACAAACGTAGTGTGGCCGCTTCAACGCGATAATTCTTGCGTTAATCCTTTGATGTACCTACCGCCACTCGAGTTATCGCCAAACGGGAAACGGCATTGTTGATGCCGTTGTCAAAATATCGTCTCAATTCTTTGCCACACCTACATTCAACGTCCATCAACGCGATAATTAACGGCGTTTCTCGTTAGTGTGGCCCGGCCATAACAATGTCTTCCAGACCGCATTTCGATCACGGAGGTCTTAATGATTTGAACTTGAATGAACAGCAGGAGATTGTTTACTTATAATACCTCTACAAGTTATGTATAAAAAGGCACAAAAAGATTATTTTAAAAGATCCGTTACCCACTTACGCTACGTAACAAGACAGTAGTAGATAACAAGACTAATCAGTTGACGAATTTAAATCCTGATCATTGCGATTTGCAGTCCGTATCTTAAAGTTTAAACTACACCATTCCTAACCATCACCGTCCGCATGTTCGCCTTTTCATGTCACAAAGACGGTGAATATTCTTGAAACCTGTAGGTACACCGCTAATTTGATTATTGTTCAATACATAAACATATTTCTTTCAGGCTTTCCTGTTATTTGTGTGGCCCCAATTGCTCCTGAAGATTTATCTACTGGACTCGCAGTTGTGTATGGATTCACTCCACGCCTAGTTACAGGTACTTGTAAAAAACCTTAAACATCTAACAAAATATCAAGCTACATTGAATATGGCTTGCTTAGTTGCCTATGTTAAAAAGTAGTGAATTTTTATTGGCCCGTAAATAACAAGAAGAAAAATAAGATATAGTTACGGCCTGTGGTAACCAAATAGCTGAAATATCAACAATAAAGAATATATTAAGATTAAGATTCTCTGTGAAGGACGCCGCTAGCGACGAAAGAACGCAGCAGGTGTATAGCGTCATACATTTTCATGTATTACAACTGGTTCACACGTGCTGCAGACGATATGTCAACTTGGTCGAATAGTGATTTCTATTAGTCTTTACTGCATGATTTTGTGCCTTTTGTGATCATGAGCATAGCTGTACGCTTTCTCTTTTAGTGATAACTAGTAAAGTACAGCCTATATAGTTCTCATAGCTGAATACAGATTTCATTTCAGTTTTGAGCGGAATATTAGGGTAAAAATGTGTTCACCCCGCTGCCTCAATGATGGCAGCAATGCTGTTGGCGGACTGCACTAGTCTTCGATTCGATTTTTTTTAATTTTTCAGACATGCAAATTTCTTTTATCGCCAAGGACGTGGTAAATCAGCATTTAAAATTGCAATTGACTACTCATTTGTGTCGCATAGAAATCAAGTTCCTCACCTTTTGTTAAGCTTTTGCTAAAGTTAAGCGAGCGCTTAACTTTCAGAAGTTAACGGCTATCACTAACACCATCGTCAGAAAAAATGTGGGTAAGTACGAGTATATTACTGCAAGTTTAAGATGCAAAAAAGTACCCGACTTACTATACAGATAAGAGTGGAACGTATGTGATCTATTACTATACATTGTTTTTATACATTAATAGCAGTAGGTAACTGTTAACACTTAGCGTGCACAAAAACTTCAAATGCCGGCACGTCGAGCTTTGAAAAAAATAAGCCCGCATCTCGGTAAGTTGTGCGTCTTATGTTATTTAATACCTACCACAAAGATATTTGAACGCGGTTCTTTTCGAGGCGTGGGAATTTTTTTTTCTACACAACGTTAATCGACATTTAGCTTACATCTTAAATGTAAGTTTATTGTTATAGCAGTAATTGAACAAGATAACATTTAATTACCAATTTATGAATTCCATTATGATGGGATATTTAAAAGAAAAATAATTATAATAATGATTATTTGATGGCAACATTACCATCAATTTTATTTTTTATACAGGTAACGATCACCGCGTTGGTTTTGGTTTCCGATTTGGCAATCACGCAGACTTTCAAATTCTTTACGAGTTCGGCCCACAGACCATCACGAAACCTCTACAGCCAGCCAGTGAGTAAAAATTGCCAAGTGATAAATAACATTCCTTTCATGTTAATGCTCAGGCGACATAGATGAAATGCATCTCTCTTATTCCTTTTTCTGGCCTTCATGTTTGGATTCCGTGAATGAACTTTTATAGGGTGTAATGGATGGATGTATAAAATTTATTCATTTATTTATTAATTTCTCTATGTTTTTAGCTGAATCCGACAAACATGTCTATAATGTCTAACGCGTATCTCTCATTCTCATAGAATAGAATATAGATTATAGAAGATTGTAAAAAAACGTAAGCGAAAAGCCAGGTGGATGTCTATCTTTAGAAGTTAGTAAATTATTCCACCGTGGTTCGAATTTTCCGCTATGTTGTTAATGGGATTGCAAAGGAATGTTTTATTATCTACCAATTGCGCACCTGAATTAAAGACAATTACAGTTATTACTTACAATCAACATAACATGTGAATAAATTCCACCTGTGGGTGGATAAGCGCCGTGGTGGCTCAAAAGTTGTGGTGGCTCAAGAGCCGTAGAAACTCAGATGGTTAGCGCTCGCTGTAAATCTCACAGTACACGCGTAACTCGGGTTCGAGCCCCGCCGGCACTAATGAAATTGTTAATATTGCAATTTTAAGTGCTGATTTACCACGTGCACGGTGGTGAAGGAAAACATCGTAAGGAAATCTGCATGTACGAGAAATGAGAAAAAAATATTTTAAAGACATATGAAGTTCGCTAACAAGCATTGGGTCAGCGCGGCGGACATTTCCTTGCCTTAAAACTCTCTCAGAAATGAGAGGAGTCCTGTGCCCACCAGTGGGGCATAAATAGGCTGTAACTTTACGTAACTAACTTTAAAGGATGTTTTTAATGTAACTATTTAGACAACGGTCAATCGACGATTCAACTCGGCTGGGAAGCGTTCGGGAAATTACGACACATCTTCTCGTCAGGTATACCTCAATCGCTGAAAACTAGATTGTACAACCAGTGCGTGTTGCCAGTGATGACTTACGGATCTGAGACGTGGTCCTACACTGCTGGCCGTATGAGGACGCTCAACGTCGTTCAGCGAGCTATAGAGAGGACTATGCTCGGAGTTTCTCTGCGTGATAGACTCAGAAATGAGGATATCCGCAGTAAAACCAGAGTGACCGACATAGCCCAAGGGATTAGTAAGCTGAAGTGGCAATGGGCCGGCCATATAGCTCGAAGAACTGATAACCGATGGGGAAGAAAGGGTCTCGAGTGGCAGCCTCGTACCGGTAGGCGTAGTGTAGGGCGACCCCCCACTAGATGCAGTGACGACCTGGTAAGATATGCAGGAAGTCGATGGATGCAGGTGGCTCAGGACCGTGATTTGTGACATTACTTGGGGGAGGCCTATGTTCAGCAGTAGACTTGTGAAGGGCTGTAATGATGATGATGATGATTTAGATAACATTCTAGCTGTTAACTTGAGATTGTAATATTCCTTAATCAACTGAATAGGATCAAAAATTAAATTGTTTATAACTTAGTAAGAGCCGATTTCGAAGAACTAAAAGGAATAAAATAATTTCCACGTAATTATTCAGTCAAATGTTTATGAAATCGCGACTTTAATTCTTATATGTATGCTACGTCTTATCACCAACTTCAAAAGCTACTATGTCAAAATCATTTTGTTCTGTTATACTTATTTAAAGTGAGTGACAATAGAAGGCTTGCACAGATGAAAAACTAAAAACGAAAAAGCTTCGATAAGTTTTTCTCTGTAAAGCTCTAGCCTGAAAACGCTCGTGTTAACATTTGGGTAAGTTAATAACAAGAAGCAGACAGCGAAATCAGACCTTTCAGCGCATCTTGTTGTGTCGTAGAATTTTGTCCCGGTCTGAGCCAGTCACCTCGATACTGCGACTAATGTCATACACGTTGTGATTTGTATTCTTTGTTTAAAGTCAGTTTATTACTTTTAAATGAAAGTTTAATTTTTCTCATGACATGATCAAAACTTCTAATCTTTTGGACCGGAATTTCGGGAGTAGATTCTTGATAATGGCGGTGCTTATATGATAGATTAAAATTAATATCAGATATAAAACATTTGTAATACAACTATTTGGTCAAACATCTCATTCCCCCCTGACCGCCTGTAGACCGAAATGTTAATATATATAGATAAAGTAATTCGCGATACAAGCATCCGTACTCAAGTGTGTAGTGTCGACGCCGTCACACAAATAAGAAATCATTGCACATTTGTAATACGTTTTGATCGCAGGTTTTTATATTCATCATTACTTTAATTTGACATCAGGAAGCTACTGCTACATTTCCCCTGCTCGTTTCCATTCGTCTTCTCTTAGACTCTCAAAATTCTAAGGGGTAATGAATTATCTTAGGCCGCTACTACATAGCTATATTGTTTCATCATCATTACAACCTTTCACAAGCCCACAATTGAATATATGCCCCCTCAGAGGAATACCACAAAGCACAGTCTTCAGCCACCTGTACCATAGACTTCCTGCATGTGTTACCAGGCCGTTACTCCATATACTGGGAGGCCCATTAAGTATTCGTAGCCTACTAAGTGTAGGGCTGTATTTTCAATGAACACCAATTAAAAAGTCAAAACTTTGATGATTATTTTGTTTTAAGTAACATTTTACTAACAAACATAAAAACAAAATCTTAAGTGCGGAATCGAACATTAAAAAACGTTTTGAATAACACCTTATTTATATTATACTTATTTAATTTTTTTTAAACACAATGAACAAATTTATTTCCAAATTTATAGTATAACTTTTATCTGATATAATCATGTTAAATTCCTCAAAATTAATTAATCATTATTTTTGGGTTTTAATCTTGCAGAGACGCGATCAACAACGTACCGTAAACATGTGAGAAAAACGCGTCGTCGTCCCATCATAGAGCTGCTGCTACGAGCCGGTTTGCTCCGAGAAGTTGAACGAGTTGAAAACTTAGATATTTAACACTGTCCAAGACAGGGATTTAGAACTCTGTTACAATGGGTGCGTTTGGCAGAAAAATGCGCTATCAAGCGCTTACAAGCGCTGAAATAGTTTTCGGCCAGGACACGATTGCTACTTCAGTAGCGCTGACACAATCCGCCATTTTGCTTATTTAATTTCTTTGTTTTGAAGTAGAGTTTATAAGATTTTTTGTGCAATATTAGTTTTAAGTAATATAATGACATGAATGGACATATACATGTTGTTAAAAATTCATCATTGGACTTACCAATCAGTTTTTAATATGAATACTTTACAAACATATATTTAAATTAGGTTAGGTTCCCTGGTTAAAATTAACTTCGTGTCCTAGAGGAAAATAGCTACTTACTATCGCCATTTTGCTTACAAGCGCTTGCTAGTACTTTTTTCTGCCAAACGCACCCAGTCATTAAGCACATTACTTATTTAATGCATGCAAATTGTCAAAAAATGTAGCCCAAAACAAAATATGTAGCTCAATCGACTGTTTGAAAAAGAAAATCCATGATACAAGAATAAATTGCTCATTTCGAAAAGGTTTATTATAGAATAAGGGTGATAATCGAACACACAGTCCAGCTGATGATAAGTGGATGCTATGGCTAATAGAAATCTATATCTATCCTCGGTTAATAATCCAAATGCAAACGTATTGTCATCGCTGAGGACTGAAATGGAATGCCGCAGCAGCGTTAAGCTGCTATTTTACGCTTATATTCTGTGAAAGCGTAGTCATTTGTGCTACAACAACAATATAGCTGTAACATGGATCTATCACTTAGAGTATTTTTATATCAAAGTTTAATAGGCTATAGTTTTTGCCTAGAATAAGTCTGATTTGCTCTCTGGTGAATTGGTATAGTGACCCACACATGGCGGTTGTGAAATTAGGCGCTGTGCAATACTATATTTTCTTTTGCTGCCCACGTTAACGCGCTACGGCTCAGTTTTAGTTATTTCTTAATATTTTGTATTTAATTAATGTTTATATTAGATCTTTACCACAGAACACATTATTCTCTATCGATATCGTTACACACGTTTTTTTTTAATAATAACTCTAAGTAGATTTACAGCAAAAGTTTGTAGTTAAATTATGACTAGAATACATTGACACAGACACTAATACAAACCTGCTTTTGTAAAAGTAACGTAAGAGAATGCACACAGTCCAAATTTATTAAATTCAAGTGATGAGCAAACTTTTTTTATAGAATAAGGGTGACAAACGAGCACACAGTCCACCTGATGGTAAGTGGATGCTGTGGCCCATAGACATCTGCATTTATCTTCGATTAAGAATAAAAATGCAGATGCGTCGTCACTCCTGAGGGCTAAGATAGAATGTCTCGTTTCCTGTAGAAAAGGGTCTTCGGTTCTCTACCCTCACCATACGAAACACAACAGCCTATAGCTGCTATTTTGCGCTGGCATTCTATGAGAGTGAGGTCCTATCAAGGTAAGAAGCTACAACCGTCAAGAGTAAAAGGAGACTTTCTGTACATCCTACGTCGCAGAAAAGAGACAAGAAGGTGAACGGGACGTGGACGGCGGGCGGAACGGGATAAACATCGTCGCCGGCGATATTATTTCCCGTCCCGTTCACGCCACGTCCCCGTCCCATATATACATCCGTAACGTACATTTTCTATGAAACGATATTTTCAAAATTTTACGTCCCGCTCCGTCCGGAATAAAACACGTTACATATGCAGCGTGTACGTTGTTTTCTATATTTATTGTGAATAAGAAAACCCTGTCCTTATGGGCGCACTTTGTCAAATTTACTTCAGATACGTATGTAACTTTATTTCGTATTTGCCTAAAATAGTAACTGTCCTATTATAGTTTATTACGTGGTATATCGTTTTTACGTGGTAGAGCCATGCTGAAGCTATATTAGTCGTAGACTTGTAGCAAGAATGGGTCGGCTCGACCAAGGAAGGACCACGCTCTCACAAAATACCAATATAAAATAGCAGCTTAAAATAGCGCTGCTGTGTTTCGTCTGGTGAGTGTAGAGAAGCGGAAACCCATTTTACTTGAAACGAGGCATTCCATCTTAGTCCTTAGGGGTGACAACGCGTCTGCATTTTGATTCGTAATGAAGAATAGATGATGTAAGTCTATTACTACAGCAACCACTTATCATCAGGTGAACTGTGTGCTCATTCTCATCCTATAAAAAATATGAAGTACAGTTTAGCCGTCTTCGTTTCGTTTTTTCGTTCGTTAGTCCTTTATCAATCTTTCCCGCGCGATCCACAGCTGTTACACAGTTTTTGTGCTGTCTGGTAGTATATATTATAGAAGCCTTTGGCCATAAAAGTAAAAGAAGTAAAGTTACAGCCTATATACGTCCCACTGCTGGGCTCCAAAAAAAACTCCCTCTAAATCTAGCCCAGGAATAATCGCCGATCTGCAACTTTAGCAAAAATAGTGCACGAGGTATAAATGCTACGACAATGCAAACTTTTAGTGTGGGGCGAAAGTATAATGTCGCATAAAAAAGCTGTAGAAGCACTAAATCGAACGCTCCAGGATTTGCGCAGCAATAACGTTGTAATGGGAGGAATGGTGATTTTACTGGCTGGTGACTTTCGCCAAACTTTACCTGTCATTCAAAAGGCACACCTGCAGATGAAATCACAGACAGGCCTCCCCTCATTTCTGAGAGGGTTCTAGGGCAAGGAAGTGTCCACCGCGCTGCCCCAATGCGTATTGGCGAACTTCACATGTCTTCAAAATATATTTTTTCTTATTCCTCAGACATGCAGGTTTCCTCACGATGTTTACCTTCACCGCCGAGCACGTGGTAAATCAGCACTTAAAATTGCAATTAACAATTTCATTGGTGCCGGCGGGGATCGAACCCAGGTTACTCGCGTTCTGTTATATTTACAGCGAGCGTTAACCATCTGAGCTACCACGGCCATAAACGATTAGATAAAAGCTATACAGCAAATCAAAAGACAACAATGAATATTACTAGTCAGAAGAGGGACTTCAATAAAAAGCGTGTAGTAATGAATTATTAGGTTTATATTTTTAATAAAAATGTTCGTATTACTATCACTAAGTCTGTACATTACTATAAATAACACAACATGCTGTAACCCAATCCAGATTCCTTGAAACATTACATGGTAATTACTTAGCGAATAATGGGGCATTTGTATAGCATAAAAAGTATAGAATTTCGATACCTCATGGCACAATGTATGAAAACAGGGTTCTTTTGCAATAACCGGCCAAATTTGCAGAGAAGGTTCAGAATACGTAATATCGGCAAATGGTGAAGAAAAATTAATTAAAAAAAAACTCAAACATTTCGTAATTTTCATCTTTTAAATTCGAAATGTGTGGTAATGCATTATTTTAACTAAATTACTGCGCACCCACATTGGTAAGGGTCGATCGCTTGAATACTCAAAGGTCAATCGGTAGCTAAAAACGTTGTTGCCCTTAAATCACATTCTATTTGGTATAATTTCAAATAAAAGTAGAAGCCTTATTTACTCGTATTTTCAAAAACTGCAATAACGATATATCATTATTTATATATTTGAACTTAAGTTTAAAATTTGGCTACTGTTTGAAAAATAACCCCGTAAATTATTATTAAAAAATAAGGGCGCGTGTAAATAAATTAATAAAAAAACATACTATTATTCTTTAATCTGATTTGTCTGTCAGATTGTCTGATTAAATTATTATTATTAAATAAACCATTTTCTTCTCGTACTCATCTGTAAACAAACTCTTTAATACTAATACTTTTCGACCTTTAAGAACATAAATCTAGATGACAGAGTTTTTTTTTGGTCAGAACTAGTATTATAGGACACTAAACATTTTCAAAAGCATAAACTATTCTGTTCCAATCAGACCCGAATTTAGAGATATTTAAGCCCTAAGGCTAAGAAGTGTATTTCCCGAATATTTTTAAGTCTATTATATTATTTGTAAGTTTTTAATTCTTACAAATACACTCATTCTAAAAATGAGCTCTTGACCATGCAGTTAGGCACCATTTCTTTACTTACATTTTGCATAAAACTCGCTAGCCAACTTAACAAAAGAAAACTAACATCGCCCTCCGCTAAATGCGGTCCTGATCACGTTTTTAATATAAGCGCAATAATCATCACTACTGTTTTTTTTATTATAAGTGTTATAAATATTTATTTGTGTACTAAAAGAATCTTGTTAACAAAATATGGGTTTTAAGTAAGTTAGTATTTCTTCATGCAACATTATGAAGCAAATTGTCGTAAGGCATAATGATTTCTTATGTTTAAGCGAACACTACACATTTAAATAAAACTAGTTTTTATGGGTTTCATCGCGTATATTAACTTATTTTATATTCCCGACGTTTCGAGCACTTTACAGCACCACGAACGCATAGCTGATTTCGACGTTCCGGGACGTCTGCAATCTGTGAGCACGTACAGGATCGCCCCCGTTACTATATCAAATTTGATTGACTACAAATCCTCCCTAAATAACTCCGACTCCTTCCAAGGATGATTCACGAGGCTATTGAAATCAAAAACACCCTAATTTCAATAGAAAAAATGGCTGGGTGCTACCATCTGCTTGGGATAATATAATTGATAAAATTGAATCCCATCCAAACACACAACTGCAAGACTTCAAGATACTGTAAGTTCATACTGCGTAGATCGGAACAAATACTAATAATTTTAATCTGGAGGTAGCCGTAATTAACTATGACTTTGAGACGTCGAACACTTCAGCCCTCCCTGTGACCATGGGTGCCAAAAATTACTCAAAGCGTCGACAATATAAAATATGTAAACATTCGTGAAAAAGTCCGCAAAAACTAGTTTTATTTAAATGTCGTAAGGCATAATAGAGTAAAGCAATAGTTCAAAGTTCGAACTCGCCAATAACTTACAAATAATTTGCTGTAGAATCTGTATTGCGTGGACTACATTGCAATGTATTCCAGT